TAAATTTGTATTTATTCCACATTCTTAAATATAGCCTGTCCAATAATGATTTTTAAACTACATTCATCTTAGCTTTATCATTCCATAGGTATCGATGCCATCCAAATCTATGGCCTCCTAGAATCAATAATCTTCTATTCCAGTGGTTCCCAAACTTGGCAACTTTAAGACTTGTGGACTTCAACTCCCAGAATTCTCCAGCTAGCTCTGCTAAATAAAACGAAACCGAAACCTAATTCTGGTCCACAAGTCTTAAAGTTGCCAAGTTTGGGAACCACTGTTCTATTCCTTAACATCTTCCTTCCTTCATATTCCTTTGCATCTCGTTGCACCTTATATTTACCGTATTTTTTATCTATAAGATGCACTGCCCCCCCCCAAATTGGGTGGAAATGTTTGTGTGTCTTATAGCGGGAATATTGCTGAAGCCCCGCCTTCCAGGATCTGCCTTCCAGCAATTTGTCTCCTTGCAGCAAGCAGTCTGGTCAGATTTAGCAGAGTCTATTTAGCACGAGCAGCTGATTGGCGGTTGGATCGGCCTCCCAGAACACTGCTGATCAGCTGTGTTCTGTCGCCGTCCATGTTGTCGCCGTCCATTGCTGCCAATGCCTGTCGCCGCCTCTATGTGCCTCATTTTCAGCCTCCGTGCATCCTTTTTGGCTTCCGCGTGTTCCATTTTGGGCCTCCATGTGACCCATTTTTGGCCTTTGTGCATCCCATTTTTGGCCCCTGCGGGTCACTTTTTCAGCCTCTGTGTGTCCCATTTTTGGCTTTTTTTAGGCAGCAGCAATCAGCTGTGGCGGCGAACTAAATGAGACTGTGCTGAAGCTGACCAGGCTGTTTACTGCAAGGAGGCAAACTGCTGGGAGGCAGAGGCATATTTTTTCTTCTTGTTTCCCTCCCCAAGAGCTAGGCGAGTCTTATGGTTCGGAGCGTCTTATAGTGTGAAAAATATGGTAACTCAAATTCTTCCGCCCTCCATACAAATTTAGATATATATTCTGACATTGTTTAAATGGTACATCAATTTTCAAAATAAATATTGTCTGGAACAAAAATAACGATGTACCGCATTTTTCGGAGTATAAGACACACCTTTTTCCCTCAAAAAAGAGGCTGGAAATCTGGGTATATACTGAATACAGTATTTTTTGCCTCCCAAAACCCCGCCCCTTCACCAAAATGGCCATGCACAGCCTTTAGGAGGCTTATAGAGTGCTCTTGGGAGCTGGGGAGGGCAGAAGTGAGCAAAAAACAGCCCATTTTTTGCTCAATTTTGCCCTCCCCAACCTCCAGGAGCACTCTATAAGCTTCCTAAAGGCTATACATGCCCTCTTTTTTGACAAAAAATGTGAAAAATAGGCTATTTTTGCTCATTTTTTTCCCACCCACTCCCCAGGAGCACTCTATAAGCTTCCTAAAGGCTATACATGCCCTCTTTTTTGACAAAAAATGTGAAAAATAGGCGATTTTTGCTCATTTTTTTCCCACCCACTCCCCAGGAGCACTCTACAAGGCTATGCC